AGAGAAGTGTGTCGAAGAGCGAGGCCGGCAGCGGCACGCAATCGCGCAGAGCGAGCTCGAGGCGCCAGCCGCCCTCCGCAGCCGGAGCAGCGCAGCCGCGCGCCGTGCTGGCTCGCAGTCCGCCTCCGCGGGCAGCCGCGAGTGCCGCCGCAACGTGCAGCGCCTACACGCATGGACACACGTCGTGGACATGGCGCAGCAGCCGGGTCGTGGCGGTTGTGCAGCGCCTGCGCCACGTCGACCGCTGCCCGCGCCAGCGCGTCTGCGCGGGCATTCTCTTCCCGCACTATGGCACCGAAAGACGGGGCGCTTCCGAGCGGCAGCCGCGCGAGGGCCTCACGCGCGCGCCCTGCCGGCTCGCTCAGCTTGCGTGCGCGTGCCTTGCCCGACATCTGGTCGATCACGACCCGGCAGTCGCCCTCGACGCGCAGCGCGTCTGGCGACAGCGCGCGTGCTGCCTCCAGGCCGAGAATGAGGCCCTCAAACTCAGCGTGGGACGATGTGACGCACGAGGGCACGAAACGGGCTCCCTCCCACCAAACGACTCCATCCTTGGAAAGCACAGCTGCCGCGCCTCCGGCGCCACCGGCTCGGAAGGAGCCGTCGAAGCGAAGCTGGAGCATTAGCATCGCAGACAGACAGAGAGCTTCCTTCGCTGCAGGCCAGCAGGCGAAAGCTGCGCTCGCTAGCCAGCTGCCCACACCTGGAGGCGGCGGAAGAACAAAGAAAGAAACAAAAAAGAACAAAAGGGAAAGAGAACGACGCGACAGAGGAGGAAATGACAAGGGAGAGAACGACGAGAGTGGGACGACCGCGAGGTGGCATGAAGATTGCAGCGAGAAGCGGCGAGAGACTGCGAAGAGAGATAGGAAGAGGCAGACTCCCTAGGGTGGGCGACGGCTAGCGCACCACACACCTCTCCTTAAAATCCCTGTGTGGTGGCGGCGTGCCGTCCTCCCATCCCTCCCTTGGGTTGTGTGTTTTCTTTCTTTCTTTCTTTCGGATGGGAGAACGGCACGCCGTCACCACACAGGGATTTTAAGGAGAACAAAGAGCACAGCGACAGACCGTGCCGATTTGTTTTTCTGATCCATCAAAGAGAAAGGATCGAAAAGACTTTTTTCTCCATATCACTGTACCAAACAACTCTAACACTCACACGTAATCTCTCTCTGTACCAACAACAAACCAAAAACTGTAAATCATCCCAGAGTGGTTGACACACATACCGCCTCTCGAGCGGAGCAGTATCGCCACGTGGCGAGGAAGTTGCGCTTGTTGCTCATTCTGCTCCTCAAGGCTGCCGATGAGCTCCCTTGCATGTGTGCTCCCTGTACCACCGCGCGCGGTGCCCATGATATGCTTTTCTGCCCCGAAGTTCCCCGAGGTTCGTACTTCGGAGCCGCTTCCCGGGGGCCCAATTTTGGCCCCTCGCGGCCCTCGATGAAAGGCCCACGTTCGGCCTGGGCGGAATCCGCGCCGCTCCACTTCCCGGAATTGGGTCGAACCCCTTGGTTGTCCCCAG